CCCCCCAAGAAAAAGATGGCAAATCCCATAATAACTGCTGAGCATCACAGAGCATCAGGTTCAGACTGGGTCCTGCTCCACACTTTGCAAATGACACACACAGCCACTTGTCAGTAGTCACGTAGGGAACAGGCAGTCAAGATGAAAGTCAAGGAAAACGTCATTTTATTAATGAGATGCACAGTAACGGTGGTGTAGAGCTGCGGCTGACAAACTCAATAAAGTAGTATGCTCTTAATATGAATGGTTTCACTGAATCTAGCTACCTTTTAACCAACAAGAAAGAGCCTTCTGATTCCCACAGTATCAGGCTATTCTGTAATACAGAAGAAAACGCACATCTGCCTGCGCTGGTGGTTCCCAAGACCTCTCCCAAGTTCAGTAATTCACTAGAAGAACTCAAAGGACTCGGCAAAAACATGTACACACAGCTAAGATTTATTACAGCAGCAGGATACAAAGCAAAATTAGTCCAGTGGAAGGGAAGCCTGGGAAATAAGATCACAGGCTTTCTGTTCTGTGCCCCCTAATCAAGTAAAATAAGTGGACTCAGAACTGTGTTTAAAAGAGGACAGGCCTTGCCTTAAAACAAGAGAAGCCCTTAACCCTAGGAAATTCTGATAATAATGACAGAATTGCTGGTGTTCTCACTGATTAGAAAAATAAAATCATTCCTTTTGCTTCTGGGGAAGAATATGAACTGTTGAGAAAACTGTGAATTTTTGCAAAGCCATAGCAGAAAGTGGAAGAAACACATTGAAAAGGAGCAATGTGCTAACAACAAATGGGCCTCTCTGTCCAGTTTCTGTAACTTCTTAACTCTTCTGATAGGCCTTAGTCAGAAATTTCTTTTGGAGATGTTCCAGCTCCCTCACTGTTGGAAGGTACCTGTGAAAAGACTACATGACATCAAAGATTTACAGCAGAAATATAAATGGTCCAGAAGAAAGGGGAAAGCTCAGAAGTGTGAGAGCTCTAGCTATAAGCAGCACGCAGAACACGGCCTGTTCATGAAATAAACCAACCCCGTCACACATCCAAGAGCCTGAGCTGGAGACAGTGACGCTCCATGTTTGTTTACGACATTTGAGTGAACAGTTTTTAAGAGGAGACTTTGCTTACGCTCCCTGTATCCCAAAAGCCCCATTTGTATCTTAAGCCTTTAAAACACTTAGAAAAAATTCATGAACACCTTACTGCAGTAATGAGTACAAAGGTAGATAAACCCGGTTTCAAAGGAGCAGGGAGACAGACCAGGAGAGTATAAGACACCCATCTCAACGAAATTATACTTACATAAGTCTTACTTTTATTTTAATTGCATCATTTAGACATTTTCGGGTTACGCTGGCTAAGTTAGGAACAGTCATATATTTCCATCACGTGAATTTCCTGTAAGCTGTTTTGAAATAAAAAGATGAAGAAAGGCTTGAACGCTTAAAACTTCAATTCTGTTGTGACATTTTCAACATCTGTTAACTATTTTTACAGGAACTCTTCATGTGGGGTTCTCTTAAGACATTTTGGCAGTGATATGAGTGACACAAGGCAAATCACTCAAACAAGTCGCAACCTCATTGTTTACGCAGGAGCAGAATGACACTGAGGTAAGGACGGGGTGTGGGGACACGGGGCAGGTGATGACTGTTCGTTGAGAAGTTTTTGGTTAACAAAAATTATCAATAATAGCCAAAAGGAGCAGCTGGGTGGTGTGATTCTGGGAGCTTGTCTGTGTTTGAAGGGTTGGCTTCCGCTATGCCCAACAGGAGGGGCGGTGGAGGAAAAGCCGATGATGCTTGGAAGGGAGCATATCCAGAGACGATGGCTCAGCAGATGGCGGGCGGCAGTGCAAACCTGAACCCCGGAGGGGAGACGCACCTCTCTTTCCGTGATGAAGAGAAAGGAGCAGCCACACCCCGGGGAGAGGCTTGGGCTGAGAGGCTGGGGACTGGGC